TTAGATCTAGTCTAAATCTGCCCTCTTTTAGTTTAAAACCGTTACCCCTTGTCCTATCGCTACAGGCCCTGCTAAAAAGTCTGTCCCCATCTTTCTCCTCAGCCCCTCTCAGCCCTGGCAGCTGCAGGAAGGTCTCCCCGGAGCCTTCTCTGCTCCAGGCTGAGCCCCCCCAGCTCTCCCAGCCTGTCCTCCCGGCAGAGCTGTTCCAGCCCTCGGAGCGGTGCTGGGGCCTCCTCTGGCCCTGCTCCAGCAGGTCCGTGTCCAGGTGCCGAGGGCTCCAGAGCTGGACGCAGCCCTGCAGGGGGGTCTCCCCCGAGCGGGGCAGAGGGGCAGAATCCCCTCCCTCGCCCTGCTGGCCATGCGGCTTTGGGGGCAGCCCAGGACACGGTTGGCTTCTGGGCTGCGAGTGCAAAATCTTTATAGTTTCTTTTATACTTTTTTTCAAGCTAACTCCTCTCTGCCAGTCTTCCAGTTATGGTTTAATCCAGCTGATGGCAGTCATCCTCTTGATGTGCTGAAACCGCTGTTGTAGCCAGGCCATTTGCTAACTGGGAGCACCCACCAAGTGCAGTGTGTGAAGGCACTGGGACGAGACTTCCCAGCCGTCCTACCTCTGCCTACAGCTCTGACAAAAGCCGGTTTAGAAGGTACTTCCAGGTCTTTTGGCCTAATTACAAAATGAAAACATTTTTATAAGTGTTTAAATAACACAGCATTGTAGTTTAAATACTTGCATAGGTTTTAAGCATGCATATTCTACTTTGGCCATTAGAAAACCCAAACTTTCAAGCTATTTCTCTCCTAATACCAATTCAGTAATTACTTCTCTAATGCCAGTAACTACTTCTCTAATGCCAGTAGGATGTGATGCTTTGAAATGAGAAAAATTCTCCCTCCTTGTTGTTTTGCTCATCTTGTCATTATTTTGTGTTTATTAACTGCATTTTTCCAGTTGATCCTGTCAATTCTTCATCACGTGCACCTTGTCTACCTTTGATGTAAGGGCTGTGCACACCCCTGAGGCTTCATAAATAGTAACATAAAAATGATAAACGGACCTCTCGGGATAGGTGGTATACATAGGCCTCCAAAATTTAAGTAAATCTTAGTTGTTTGGGATTTATTGTGCTACCTATAACCTCTAACAGAAGCTTGAGCTCCTGTATGAAATGCTGTGGACAGATGTGTACTGTGGAAGCAGATGAATTAACGAATGGAGGTGGTGCCCACTGTTCTGCCCCAGCTACATGTTAGTGCTTCATCAGATCTCTTTGTGTGAACAAACCCCAGCTGATGAAACTGTATTAAGCTGACACAGCTCACTGTAACTGCCTAGAAAGCACCTGCATGAACTCTTTGCAACCAGCAGATGCAAAGGGCACTGCAGTATTCAGCAGAAAAACAGCCTCATCACCAACTGCAGTGAGCACGGTTAAATTCAGAGGATCGCTTTTGTCCACCCCAAGAACGGAGGAACAGCGGAAGGAGGTGAAGTGACTGGTGTGATCTGTTGGTCACAGTTTTGGGCACTGAACACAGATCTCACAACTCCCAGTTGTGTGCCTTTCCCTAAGTGACGTTGTTTTTAGTGATAGTTAAACTGATTTTTCTGTATCTAAATATATACTATAAAGGAACTTAGCTACCCTAGTGAAGCATCTTTGCTGTGTATAATAATATATATTATATAATAATAACAATATAATTACTTCCAGAGAGTAATTATATTGTCTTTAAAATCTTGTTTACTGGCTTATCTGACATTTTTCCTCGGAAGTAATAAGAAAATACACCAAATCAAAATTACATGCTCTGAAGTGAATGCTGATCCTGGTTTGTTTTTTCTCTTAGTTGTGCATTTCACTGTTGTGCACAGGGGGAAAAGAGTATTGGCATGAGATGCATGGATAACAGGGAGAAGACCTGGGCAGTGGGAAAATAACTCTTGAAGCTTAAATAAAGTGTGTTAGGTTTTGTCCAGGTTATGCTTGCACATGCCTGTTGATCAGAGGGAGAAATGAGGCTTCAGGTACACCGCAGTAGAAACAAAACACTGTGGGGTATTGCAGACTCCAAAATACATTCAGCTAAGTAACTTCAAATAACGCTATGAAATGTCCTTAACTGTTCATACACTTTTCGAATTTACAAAAGCGGATTGGAGGGACCTGTCTTACTGCTGTTACACGGTGGAGGCCATTCCGCTCTTTCCTGGGCTGTATTTACTGTAAGTAAGCTGCTGCTTTATAGAAGTGTATATATATGCAAATATAGTCATCTGAGTGTGGAAGGCAACTAACCATTCAGCTATGTTCAGCACAGGAAAATCAATTCAGAAATCTGTCCTGGTGCACACCTGGACACTCCAGTCTTCTAAATATTTCGCTGTCAGTGTGTATATTAAATAGGCAAAGCACACGCAAAGGTTTGTCGACAAGGTTTTAATTATCAGCAGTAACCAAGACTACATCTGCCAAATAGCTTGCATGTTTTAATGAAATGCCAAAGACATTTCTCATCATAAGCATATCCATTTTTTTTCGGAAGGCTGCTTTTTCATGACTACTAGTGAAAGTTCAACAGCTTTATCTCATCGAAATAATATTATCTTTGCATGATTGAGGTCCTGTTTATTGAGAAATCTCATTTGCTGCTCAAGCAACTCTCTGAAACACGAACTGAGGGGGTGTCAATAGGAGTGAGCGTGGGGACTGACCAAACCAAAATTCCTCCTTCCCACCCATTCCTTTTTAAAAAATAAAGGGAGTTAAGGAAGAAATCGTCTAAAGGATTTCAAGTAAAGTAAAATCACTTGTGGTGTGTGATTTTTATTTGGGACCTTTTTAATCCAGGAACTCTTTGAGCTGTCTAGTGCCCTTGACGGATGCTGTAGGATGACTTTCATGGAAGTGCGACTGGACAGATATAGTCTCTACATCTCCCCTGTGCCCATATTTGTTACCTTTTAGGAGTTTGGTGGGCTGTAGAGCACTTAACCTTTCAGCAGAGATTCAAATGAGTAACGAGAATGAACATTTTGGAAGAGTCACTACCAACTGCTCTTGAATTCCCAACATGACTACTGTTGAGTAATGCTGATGGTGTGATCATAAACCGTCTGGAATTGTAATGGGACACATTAGAAAAATACTTTGCCAACTGGGCTGTAGTTTTGGTATTGAATAGTAGTTTTACACCTAACAGTTCATTTGTAACTTTAGCTTACCAGAGACTGATGCAGATAGGGCTCTTCTAAAACTGTTGAACTTTAAGTCTTAAATCTCTGTCTTACTAAATCCTGTAGTTACTTGCTTGTAGCTCATTAGTTGCCAAGATGGACGGATGTCTTTTCCTCTGCCAGTTAGTGGTTTTGTTACAGTATACAAGTGCCTTAAACAGATACAAGGAAGGTCACCGCTTTTCACTGGAGGCAGAGGTATGAAGTCCCATTTTTCTGACTTAAGGAAAGGGCTTCTTAACAAGACACTTCCACCCCCTCTAGAGCTCTAATAGCTTGCCAGTACCTTTTTTACATTTAAAAAACTCCAGAGTTGAATTTAGCAGAGTGATTGCAGTTATAACACCCTGCCTTACAGTTACTAACTTTACTGTTAGCAATTAACAAAGTTCATACACAAGATTCACACAGATTTATGCCTTGCACTTGAGCCTGGATCTGGAGAAAGAAACTACCACAGCAGTTAGCTCGTGCCTTTCTGTGGCTGCTATAGAATTATTTCCTTTGGGCATTTTGAAATGAAAGTTTGCCCTAAGCAATCAAGTGTTAAATGTTTAGGATGAACCAGAACCAAAAAAAAACCCAAAACAACCAAAGAACGTTTCCCCACAAAAACCAAGAAGAAAACAAAATTGGGAAGCACTGAGAGTAACAATCTATAAATAAAATAACAGCCTGCAGGAGCGACATGCTTCTGTCTTATTTTGCTTATTGACCTGGTAACGTCCTGGATGATGTGTTTGTACTTCTCCTGGCAAAAGTACTGTGGTTTGGATAAAACTCAGGGCACCAGAAAGCTTCCCATTCTCTCACATCATGTTGAGATGATCCTCTTTCCTTGCTCCCTACTGACAGTAGTTTGATTTTTAGCAGCAGACTTCTCATCTGACTAGTTAAATTATTGCTTAGGTGCATAAGCACCTCGCAGATTGAGGTTTCAGCATGTCTTTAGGGGCTCTAATATATTAACCTGTGGATTCAGTGGGTTTTGGGAGAGCAACTGCTACAGTCATTCAGGACTTGAATAGCTGAACAATCAAAATATGAGGACGGGGTAGCTTCCAGATCTCTGCCCATTATGTAGGTGGTTTTGTAAATCTCAAGAAATTCCCCCACTCCTGCAGGACTGTTATTTAAATAATCAATGATCCCTTAACACAAAAATCTTCCTTTCAACAAGGAATGCCACTTAATCGCTGTGATTCCTGAAGTAGCTTACATAAATGGAGCTGTCAGGGACAAACGAGCCATAATCATATTGCAGCCCTGCCTCACTTTAAAAAGATTCCTCACTTGTTCCCCCTGACCCCTTTGGATTAAGCAATTTTGGTACATTTCAGCATTACTTTAAAATGCTGTTCTTTGAGAGCAAATTGAATGTGTGCTGCAAAGCAGCTGCTTCCTGTCTGCTGCATAGCTGAGCTGCTTCATCTCTGTTGTGTAGCCAACGCTAATTTTGTAATTAGGGGGGCTTGGGGAAGGGGGGCATTACTTTGGTGGCTGCAATCCCACTGCTGCGTTTCAGTTTTCAGAGGTGCTACAGAGCTTGTACTCATTATCCTAGAAAACACGAGTCCTGTCTTACGCACAGTGAAATAAATGTCCTCGGAGACGGCGTGAACAATGCTAGAAAGGATGGAGCTTTGGTTAATTAAGGATAGTTTATATGGAATATTCTTGCTTGCTTCCTCTGACACCTCGTGCAATCCAGGTTCAGCTGTTTTGCTGGCAGTAGAGGGTTTTTCTCGCACTATCCGAGCCTTTGCTGTTGTTTCAGGGAGCGCTTAATGTTGCTAATCCTTTTGTAGGTGAGGTGTGGCACTTTGCAAATTATATTATCTTTGTCCCTTCTTGCAGTCTGCAATCATTAACAGGATTCAGTGTAGGATTGTGGCTTTAGATCTCCGGGGCCATGGTAAGTAAAATAAATACATTTAAAATCACATAAGCATGTTACACGCTCTCGTTTTTTCAGGAAGATATAATGAATCCCTCCCAAGATGACTAAGAAAGCATCCTTAAGGTATTGTTACTCAAAAGCATTGCAATTCCAATTTCAAGAATTCCAATTCCAAATTCCAATTGTTATGCAAAAGCAGGGCTGGAAAAGTGGCTTCTGGAGCTCCACAGCCACCTGTCCTCACGTGCCAGAAGCTGGGACTCCCTGCGCCTTTGTGCGAGGCAGTGGTGGACTTGCGGACTTGTTCCTTCCTGCATTCTGGCACAACCCCCTCCTTTATAGTTTCATAATCTATAGGTGCTCTTTACAAGCAGAAGTAATGTCTGTTCTTTAGTTTTAGGATACATTGCAAATATGGAACAGTTATGGGGAGCATTTCCTACCCGTAAGCTATAATGCGATAAAGTACCAACCGTTCCTATTAATTCTGGGTTTCTTAATTATTCATGTTCACTGCAGTAGGCTGGCTCTTAGTAAGTGTGCCAAAAAGCTTTGTACAGTGGCTGCTCAAAGTCCTGAGGGCTCTGAAGCTTTTCAGCTTATATGAACTTAACTTTTTTGTTCTTTCAGGAGAAACAAAAGTTAGGAATCCTGAAGATCTGTCTGCAGAAACTATGTCAAAGTAAGGAAGCTTATGCTCTCTCTTCGGTATTTCTCTTTTCACAAATCTTTATTTTCTTTCCTTGATTGAACAATAAACTACTTGAGGACACACAACCTTCATTCAAGGGAGCTGGATGGTTCAACCTTTGGCGGTTGGACTTGATGATCTTAGAGGTCTTTGCCAACCTTTATGATACTATGAAGACAGTTTCATTTCACGTGATTCTGGTAGTTATCCCTTATTTTCCTTCCATTCTAAGACAGTTTGAAATTTATTTGAAATTGTATCTCTTCCAGCTGAGCCAGGTTCCAAACTGGAGTTGTTCCCTAGCTGCCCTCAGTTTTTAAACTTGCTTTAAAGATCAGTGGCTTCATTGCAGTGAACACTTCAAACCTGCAACGCACTGTAACGCTTGCTAGAGACTTCCTAAGACGAGGGGAATGATTTCCTCAGACATAACCGACTGCGACATCTTAGCTTGAAATCACCGGTTTGGTTCTTCCTCGGCTCCTCGAGCGAACGTTCAGAGCGTGCCCACCTTGGGCTGGCGGCATCCCCAAAGTGTGGGTCACAGACCGAGACTTTCAGGCGTGGAGGGAGTTGCTTTTTCAGACTACCACGACCTGCTTTGGGATGCAAATCGCCCTCTTGACAAAGCTGTAAGAAAAGCAAATACCCACTGCTAAGCACATTACTGTTAGGTCCACATTTAGTACAAAGAGACTCTTTGCTACGACTGCAATTAAATCAGGATGGATTTTGTAACCTTCATATGAACAAATCCACTTGGTTTGTTGTGGGGAGGCCATGTGTGAAATGTATTCTGACTTCCATTGTGTACCTTATTGCTACTGCTTATGGCTTGTCAGGTCCTGATGTGTTACTGTCCTGAGGAGATGCCGTATGAAATGGTTAGGATTTTTAAAATCTGGAGCAGCACTACTGTGGGGGGAAAACAAGTTGCCTTTTGTTTTTAAACCTTTCTGTCCTTTAGCAATGAGCTTGAAAATTATTTTTGAATAGGTTTAAATGGCAGCCTTAAATTGTAACCGTTTTTTTTGTTGGATTTTTTTTTGTCAAATCCTCAAGCAATTTTCTCTGACAGAGCAAACAAGCTGGTCAACTTTTTTTTTTTTGACTTGTTTTCCATTTCCTATTTCCAATACCACTCAGGTCTCCGGTTCCTCTGAATGGTTTTAGTCAGGAAAGACAATTTGGGTGTCTTAAACTACAGTGCTCTTCAGTAGATTCCAGCCGTTAGCTCTGCTGTTGTTTTGAGGTTTGTGAATCCAGCTTTCACCTACTGCAGTGACAGCTTCAGTTTAAAGTAGGTGCCTTATGGAAAGGATGAGGAAATCACCCCTTGCCTTGTAGTATCTGTGCTCATAGAGTCTGAACCCTTTTGCTTGTGCTCCGTGCCGTTATTTTGCCTTGGTCAGTAGGGCTCAGTTATTTTCCCTCTAATTGCAAACAGTTTCCCCTTTCAGAATGGCAAATTTCTCAGTCTACACTTCCATGCAAGAGGATTTGACAGCTTTTTCTCACCTTTTATTTAACATTCCCACCAGCTAATGTCAGTGTAAAATGTTCTCTTCAGGGATTCCTTTTAAATGAGCACTTTCTGATAAAAAAATGGAAATTGTTCGGGAAAGTACTGGCTTGAATGATTTCCTGTATTGGTGCTTAGATCAAGCAGTGGTAAGAGAATAAACTTGTCTCAGTTACCTGTGGGTTAAATGAGCGTACAGACAGGATTTGGAGCCGGACATCTGTCTTGGATCTGTACTTTCTCCTCGCGTTGTACCAGTCTGCTTCAGAAATGTGTCAAGGTAGAGATGCTGACCATGCTTGTATCTCAACCTGACAGAGACGTTGGAAACGTGGTTGAAGCTCTGTATGGGGACCTTCCTCCGCCGATCATGCTGATTGGGCACAGCATGGGGGGTGCCATCGCAGTACACACGGCGGTCGCAAATTTGGTGCCAAGTTTACTGGGTCTGTGCATGATCGACGTTGTGGAAGGTGAGTGTGTGTGCCCTTGGATAGACTTCTGTACCCTTGGACGGGGCCCATCTTCCACACTGATCTTTTTCTTTCATCCCCAAATCCCTGAATATAGAAAGTTTTGTCCAGTTTTTAAACCAATGCCAATTCCTTCCTCCGAACAGATGCTACCTACACAAAAGTCTTTCTAGTGTCACCCCTCCTTTTGCTTTTCCCAGATGGGCGCTCCGTTTGCTATTTTCCTGATAATTTCTTTGCAGTGCTTTCTTGTTAGCGGGGAGAAGGGTGGCTTTTTATTTAATGCACGGTGCTGATGAGTGATTACTGCCATCTCTTACTTTCTGAATGTCCTACCTGTTCAAATATTAATTCTGTAATGTGGGAGCAGGTGTGACTGGGCTTAGGAGTACTAAGCTGTACTTTCCTCAACAGCATTAAATCCCCAGCGAGCTCCATCTCTCTCTGAGGGTGTTCCCTGGTAGACAGTTCTGTCTAGAGGGATGTGGCAATTATTTCATCAGATGCCATAAAGGTGATATACTTGGTTTTAGGTACAGCCATGGACGCGTTGAACAGCATGCAGAACTTCTTAAGGAGTCGTCCCAAAACATTCAAGTCACTTGAGAATGCCATTGAGTGGAGGTAATGCATGGGCTTCTGCGGGCTCCACATTCCCTTGTCTTTGTAGCTTGACTGTTGAAGGAAACAAAGTTTATGTAATTTGTCCGTTTTCTCCTTTCGCGTTCACTTCCCCAATCATTGTCGCCAGTTCCTTGGCTGATTTGACGGGGAGGGAGAGGTCTCAAAGATAATTAATTTCCTGGGGGAGTTGGCTACGCATTGGAGAAGGATCCTCTAAGAGCTTCAGCTGATGGAAAGCTTAATGGTGTGAATTGCAGCTTCCTTCTAAGTGTCCCAGCTATTACAGAAGAAGCTTGAAACATCCATCCATGTGTAAGAAACAAGGCTTCTTTCCGATTCAGCGAGAATTACTGACACATTTGGCAGCTGAGTTTGAAAGGGAGAGGCCTCATGGTTAAGTTTATAGATTGGACTACAGAAAGCCCAGTTCTGTTCCCAAATACCCATGTAGTTTCTGCCCTCTCCCTGTCCCCTGCAATGAAATGGGTGTAACCCTATTTCACTGTTTCCCCACACCACTTCTCCCACGTGTCTTTTAAGTTCATAGTTCCAGTGACAATGGGGGTCGGAGTAAGTCGGCACGTAGCGCGAGGCACTCCGAACGCCTGCTGGGAGCAGGAGGTTTGGGAATGGTTTGGGGAAATCGTGAGCTGTAAAGGGCTTTTGCTCCTGTGTCTGGGCCTGCTAGTTACTGATTCTGTTTAGTGACTATTTATGTCCTTCCATTTTTTTCTTTTCTAGTGTAAAAAGTGGGCAAATAAGAAATCTTGAATCTGCCAGAGTTTCTATGGTCGGTCAAGTGAAACAGTAGGTGTTTTTGTTTTTTTTTTTTTTTTTTAAGCTCTTAAAGTCATCTTGTCTGTTTTACAATACCATTGCTACAGAGCGTAAATGCACTTAAAAGTGAAAATTTCTTCTAGCAAATACAAATTTCTTATCATTTGATCACAGTTGATACTGGCAGCGGCACTGAATAGTTGTGGCACTTAGAACGTGCCATGGCCAGAATTTCCCTGCGGCAAAATCCGCCAAGAGCCGTGTTTTTAAAAGTTTACTGCTGTTTGAGTATTCCTTGTTTTGTCTGTGTTTCCTCCTATGTTAAGAAATAAGTGTTAATCTGATGCCTCTTTTGCCCTAAGTCGGGTTGGCCTTCTGGGTATGGAATCTTTCACTTCCTTTTAGAAATGATTTAATTATCTGTTGCCTTTCGGGAGTGATCTGAGGTGGGTTTGGGGGGATCAGAGTAACCTGCTTGTGCCGCTCTAATCCTTGACGTACCTGGAGCCTTTACAAATGCCTCATACTCCATTAGGAAAAGCTGATGTTGATTATTTGACCATTTCCACCTCCTCTAAGTAGCTGTTTGCATTTTTATTTGCACTGGGATGCATGTGCTGCACAGGCACTTGTCCCGTGGCTAGTCATGACTATCTTTCATCCGCAGCTACTTTTAAACTTCAGGGGATTTTTTTCAGCCAGTGTCTGAGAAATTGCTGACCACTTTAGGTTAAAACTTGGTTGGATTTTTTTGTTTTGGCAGGGAATCAGTTTCTGCTTTTCTTCTCACAGGTGTGAAGGGGCTGCCAGTCCTGAATGCCCTAAAGCCATAGTGGAGGGTATTATTGAAGAAGAGGAGGAGGAGGAAGAGGATGAGGAAGGGGGAGGCTCTGTCAACAAAAGGAAGAAAGAAGATGACACAGAGGTGGGGAATTTCTTGTTTTATTTTCAGCTTGTGCTTGCACGATGCCCCCCTGCAAGAGTAGTTGTCCAAATTGTTCTAATACAAAGTGGAGCAATTCCAGGGACTGAAAACTTTATATTGTGACTTGTTTTTTTCTTTGTCTCGTGCCACTGATTCTATCTTGGACTGTTACCTGAAAGTGTGTGTCTGGTTTTCTCTCCTGAGGTGCTCACAGATTTAATGCATAGGACCTGAAATGGGGCTTCGGGCCTGAATGAGGAATGCTCTTTTCCGAGTCTTTGTGGTATTTTTGTTTCTTTCCAAGGCACAGTAGCATTCAGGAGGTCATACAGGCAATTGCAACCTAGGAATGTAAATTCCTTGAGGAAAGTCATTGTAGCCAGCTTAGCCCATTGTATTTCTGTGTCACCTAAGTGAGAGCCAAGCCTGAATGTTCAGACGATTTCTGAGCTCTTTGTGCCAGTAAAAAATAGCAAATTAAGTGTCCTGAAAACTACAGCCTTCTCTTCATCTACAGGTGTAGCTCCTGCTGGCTTTCTTGTTCCCTACTCATGTACTTTGGTTGTGATTTTGAGAGAAATTTAGGAGCAAGGAGGGTCATCCCCTGGAAGTGTGTAATCCACCAGAGGGAGCCAGTATTTTTTATATATGCTTCCAAGTAGTGCTCCAAGTTTGTTTTGTTTCAGCTGTTTTACTGATCACTAATGCAGAGCTCTCTCTCCTCCCTGCAGACAAAGAAGGAGCACTTATACACATGGCGAATTGAACTGGCAAAAACAGAAAAGTACTGGGATGGCTGGTTCAGGGGTTTATCTAACCTCTTCCTGAGCTGTCCAACTCCAAAGCTTTTGCTTTTAGCTGGTACGTGTCTCTTCCAGTCCTGTTTTGGTTCAGTGTCTGTTCACTTCGGTGATGTCCCACTTGTATTTTAGAGAATAGGGCCAGCGTTTGGCTAATGTCTTTCTCTGAGAATAGCAAACCTGTCTCTTCCACCTTGGCTTTTCTGTGTATCTTGAAATATCAGAAAACGGTCCATTTGATCTGTGCCGATCTGGAATTGGGCTGTGGGCATGGTGGTGTTGGGTTGACAGTTGGATTTAATGATCTTAGAGGTCCTTTCCAACCTTAATGATTCTGTGATTCTATGGAATTAGTTCCGAGCCTCTAATATCAAAATAGCACATAATGACATACTGTATGTGTTGCTGCTGCTGCTGGACAGGTGGTTTTGTTCTATGATGTGGAAGAGCAGCAAACAGGACAGATCTAAGCTGCCCTTCAGACTCCACTACTAACGATATTTTCCTACAGATGCGGGTGTGATTTGATGTTTTCAACTGAAAGCCAAATTATCGATGTTCTACAACCAGCTGTAGGCCCTTTTTGTGCCTTAATAGGAAATACAGTGTGTAACCAAGATAAATATCCTTTTAAGTTGTATGGAGGGATGTGTTCTTGCATTTCTGGCTGGGATTCTTTCCTGTCACATTACTGTCTTGAGGTGCAGCACTGAAATGTCCTTGTGGTGGGTGACAGAGATGTTTCTTATGTGTTTTTCAAGCCAAATGTCTCTTTCAAAATACCAAGTAAAGCCCTGCTTAGACAGTCATGTTCTCTCTGGCTTTTCTCCAATACATCTGTTTATTTGATTGTAGGTGTTGACAGGCTGGATAAAGATCTAACAATTGGACAGATGCAAGGTAAATATTTAATATTGTTACTCTACCCTTACTGTAATGCTCTTTTTGGATGATAGCTTGTTACTATGGGTACAGGAACGAGAGATAGCTGGAATGGCCTTTTACCAGGTGCAGTCTATATAGAAACAAATGTGCATTAAAGAATCAGTCCATCCCAAAGTGTTCTCTAATTGTCTGTGCTTGTAGGAAAGATGGAGAAGTTGAGAAGGGAAAGGTTCAATTAGAAGTTGTGAAGGGCTGTTGCCATGGGTTTTGTTCAGTCTGATGTTCAATGTTTCCAGCAACGGAACTGCCACACTTCTCTTGGGTCAGAATGATTGTCTGTGAGGGCTTCTTTTTTCCCTTTCTAACTACATTCCTGATGTTCCTATCTAGAACACTTGGGACCATCCAAAACTGTCTGGTCTCGCGGTGTTTCTGGAAGGCATCAGACCAAGATTCAGCATCTGCGTTAATGTTTTGGACTTGTTTTTTTTTTCCCCATCCCAGCTTCATTGATTTCCAGAGCAACCAATATTGGAAAGTAGTATTGGGTAGCAGGATAAGCATTACGTTAAGGTAGATCTGATAATGGTTCCAACTCTGAAAGGTAGTCTCACCTGTGTCGAGAAGCATTAAGAAGTTTAGCTTCGTTTTACCTCTCGGGAACCTGCTCTAGTTACACCTGGGGAAGATGAATTAAGCAGCCGCTTCTCCCTTTCTTTGGAAACTGTCTGCTGTGTGTATTGTACAGTTTGCCCTAGACTCCTGTGCCTTCCCAGGTCGTTCTTCGCCAGATGCATATAGTGAGGTTTGTTTGTAAAGAATGTGAGATCCTGTTCAGAAGAGTTCATAAATTCACAGTGCTCTTAAGGGTGCAGTGTCTGACGTTTCCTGTGTACACAAGAGCTGCTTGCCTAAACCGTTGCTGTTAGAAATCAAGACCACTTAAAAAGCAGCTCCAGTGATGACTCTCTTGATCCGCAGGGAAGTTTCAGATGCAGGTCCTCCCGCAGTGTGGCCATGCAGTCCATGAAGATGCTCCAGACAAGGTGAGCCCTGTGAATGAACTACCCCACGGTAGAAGCTAGATAAGTCACAGTCTTCACAGCTTAAAGGCAAAGGAGTCCATTGCTTACTATGAAGCAGAGATTGTACTTCAAGCAGCATTTTTTGGCACGACACCTTAACTGGCTATTCACAAAACAGCTTGGATTTTTAAGCTGACTAGAAAGCCTGGGCTAAGATGTTACGTGACACAGGGCTTGGCTAGATTACAGGTTTAACTCTCAGGCTAGTGGTGATATACCCAGCTCTTACCATGTGGAGTGTGGATTTATCCTCCCTGTCTTTCCTCGTGAAGTTCTCCACTCTCCTTTGAACTAAGCTGCAGCTTTTGGGGTTGATCTGTGTTTTGCTGAGTTGGGTGGCTCACATTTTCCAAATACAAAACAAATGTTGCCGAAACAGCTTACAGACTGACGGAGCAGTGCTGCTTCTGAGTACTGCTGAAGTTAGTGTCCAGAGACAGGAATGTGGTGCAGCCAGTGGAGCCTGTGGTTGGAAACACGTCTGGTTTTAAAGCTTGTTCTACACTGACCACTGTGAGTCTAAAACTCAGCCTTTCTGTGCTTCGCTTTGCCAATCTGAAATAGTATGTTTATCTAAACGTACTGAGTTGTTATTCTTTTTAATATACATTCTAAGCAGTATTATTACCCTCAGGTTACTGTCTTGATTTATTCTTCATAGGAGTAACTTGCATCGTGATTTCACCAGACCTTTTTTCCTTGCTAAGCTTAGGCATTGCTTTAAGAATTACTGAAGAAGGTGGAGAAAAAATTTGGTCGGTTCTTGATTGTGAGATCAGTGTCAGAGTAAAGGCAGAAGCATGTGGTTCCTTTATTTTATATAAAAGCGTTTTTTTTATATAAAAAGTACCTTTTTTTATATACAGAGCTCTTAGTTTTAAAGGAGCAAACTTGATTCAGCAAGAGGATCCTGAGGACATGAACTGTTTTTGGAAATGCTGCAGGCTTTGAAAACTGACTGGATTTCTTGTTATCTTCGTGTACCTTTAAATTCCCACTGATTTTTTTCCCTCCTTCCCTCAGGTTGCTGAAGCTGTTGCGACGTTCCTGATCCGTCACAGGTTTACAGAGCCCATCGGTGGATTCCAGTGGTAAGGCTCTGCGGGTGCCAGAGCTGTGCAGTCCTTGAGCAGAGGTCTTGCTCTTACTGCCTGCATGTTTGGCTCTCGGTGTGCGAGGTTGGAATTTTAGCTTAATGCTAAACACCACATGTAAACAAACAGCTTTGAATCACAGCCAGTAACGCATTTGATGTTTGTGTCCTCTCTAAACTTCTCGCCTATTAACTTGTGTTCATGAAAGTTCCTTCCTTGGAGGGGAGGAACGAAGCAGGTCCTCCCTGGCTGATTCCTTTCTTTATAGCCTGCCAGAAGACAGAATTACAAGTTTTATGGGTTTTAGTTTAAATAATATTTTATTTAAGTAATCAAGGCCCCGTGTTTTGGAAACAACTTGCACCACACTTCTTTGGCCAAGAAATGCTGGTGAGATTAGACAGGTAAAGCTGTGTGCTTCACTTTGCAGACTTTCCATACTTACCTCATGGGTTTTCATATCACAGTGAACAGTAGAAACCAGGCCTCTGCGATCAGCCACACGGCGGCTGTGACTGATAAGGTTGACTGGAAAAACTCCCAAAGTCTTAGTTACAGTACCATAAAGCTAATAACTAAACCAACACTTAGACCTCTTAGAAGGTACTAATCTATTTCAGGATCATCTTTCAGGTGAATGGTAAAATAAGCATGTTTCTTAAGCAGTCCTGAAAAGTCTTCCTGCTTTTAGCTAAGAATTCTTTCACAAAAGCTCGAAGTGGGATGCTGTAGGACTGGCAATGCTAAAGAGGTATTGCTGGATGATCTCTTTCTGCTTTTTTCCCCCTTTATCCTGTGCCCTTGGGGGTGAAAGAGTAGAAATGCAGGACTGTGGACTGCATATTTTAAATCAAATGAACGGATATAGTGTAGGTTGATGTGTAAATGGTGAGAGAGGGAAAAGACCAAAGGACTGCACTGCACTGTAATGTTGAATTGCCACCATGTATTTGGCAACCTGTGCTATCTCAGTGAGTCTTGAAGGAGCTAACGTGTTGCTCCTGCGATTATGGTTGTAGCAAAAGAAGCTTTAAACCAAGAGGCTTGAAGAAAATGAGGTGGCTTGCTGGCCTTACTGTGTCCTTAAGCCATAGACAGCAACAAGTTATTGTTGGATGCATCAATGCTGATTTTAACCTGCGTGATAGACTCCTTTTGGCCTTCTTTGATCTTGGGTAATCAACTAAATTTAGGGTTTCGCAGAGTCAAATATCTGCAGAGAATACCTTGATTTTTAACGTGTGACCTTTCTTCCACTCTCCTTTTTCCCTCCTAGTGTGTTTCCTGCTTGTTAATACCCTGGTGTTCTCCAGCACTGCGTCCTGTTGTAAATAAACTGCACCAGAGGCCACTGTGATGTATCCATATCCTTTCATCTCCAGTTCAGCAGCAGTGAGAAGTTGGTGCGAGATTTATCCCCTAGAACTAGTTCTCCAGAACGTGTAAATGCTTAGGGACTTCCTTGCTGGGAAGCAGCTTGTACTGAAGACCATGAAAAGCTCTTCAGGCCCTTGGAAGTGGGCTCCTCTCTGCTGCCACAAGGAAAGACCTCCTGAAATCCCAAGTAGTTGATCATACCAATCTCCGTCGATTCTCAGGCTTTCTGGGACCCAACGGCAAAGGGGCTGTTGGCAGTCCAGATCCACCGAGGGCATTGCAGCATAGCCAAAGGCTTCAGGATTTCTCCATGGAATCATCCAATCGTCTTTGAAGTGCCCCTTAGGTTTGTTTTTTTATATACACCTTTCTTTCCCCTAAAGCAGACGAGGAATCGGCTTCATTGGGAGCTCAGGTTTCATCTCACCAATGCCAGCCTTACGAGTTAAGCTGCGGGAACAGTCTAGATGTTACTTTCCTGTGCAAAGTTGGACAGTCCTGTAGAACAAAAAGGCGAGGGGGGACCGTGAGCTCCGTTTCAGAGTCTTGCAGCTTTCTTAACACTTGTTTCAAGTTCTCACTGAGAAAAATAGCCTGGGTAACTCCATCTACTGCAGAGACATAACAGGCAGGGGACTCTGGGCCTGCGTTTATGGGGAAGACCCAAGAGCAGCAGTAACAACGTGCGCTGCAGGCAGTTTGCCTGTTTGGATGTTCTCTGCCCCTGGATTGTGTTTATGCTTCCCTTCTTGTAGCTGCTACACACAACTGAGCAGAGATCAGCACCTTTTGGATGAAAAAGTGCAGTAGATAAAACCCTGGAAGAGCTTGGAGTCAGTCCTGCTGATGTTGATGCAGACGTGTAAGCAGCTGCTGCTGCTGCGTTATGCTCGCCCCAGCATTGGAGGAAAGACCTTGTTTTCGCTGTCGCTTCCTAGATCGTTTCACTGCCTGCCTTCCATATTTCCATGTAAATGCAGTAGTTACACGGAGAGCTTTTCTTCAGGGTTAAATTATCCACAGGCAGTTCATCAGATTGCTTTCACCTAAGAATCACTCTTGAGCAGACAACGTTTTGGCGCAGTTTTCCTCAATATTGCTGGTGGATGTCTGAATTTTAATTTTTTTTTGCCTTGTGTCCGTAACCCCTTGATGCTGTATGATGAAAGCAGTATTTTAACGCTGTTTTGCTGAGGCATAGTTCTGTTGTTTGCCTGATTTGGGAGCTGTGATGTGCATCTATGCGTACGTCCCGTGACAAGAGCCATCATGAATTCTTGGCGTTTGAGAGGTGCAGGTGGGGCAAAGGGAGACGGTGTGAAGAGCTGGCAAAGCCCGGCTTAACGTTGATGTTTACCCTGATGGAGAGCCACTCGCCTCTGATTCATTTACATGTGAGCCCTGGACGCGGCAGTCGTGGCCTTGCTCTGTGTCCCTTCCCTGACGCATCAGGGTGGGAAATGCCTGAATTAGAGACAAGAAAGCCTTATTCCAGAGAGCTCTCCTCTCTCCTGGCGCTTTGGCCATCGGCATTCAGGTGTTACAAGAGCAATTGCTGGCTCCTGGCGCTTCCCTCCGTAAGGCGCCGTGTCAATTACTGCATTAGTTTACTGTGACCTTGATGTAATGTCCACCCCTGTTTCAGTTGCTGATGGATTAAATGGATCTTCGGTAGTGGAGATGCAAAATAGCACTTGCCCCGGCTGTATCCTGAAGATTGGCAAAATTCTCGGTCCTTTCCACATGACTCCTGTGTTCAAATTATTAGAGATTAAATAATACAGTGTGTGTGTCCAGAGTCTCTCTTCATGGGATAGTTAAGCACGTGCCTGTTGTCATACTCCTGAATGATCTCGCTAAAGTCACATTCCTCCGTGCTGAAGTAACTTGGAGGATCTGGCTTGGAGTGATTCGTTGCGGTAACTCCTTGCGTTCGCCTCTCATGTTATCCCTTTCATTTGCTTTTACAGTTTGCGAGAGATTAAAAAAACCCAACCAACCCAACCCTCCATGGAAAGCAAAAGAAAATCACTTTTGTATTCTGTAGAAGCACCACTGGAAAATGAATGATTGTTTCTGAATCCTGCGGGCTCCCCAGAATTCTATTTTGTTGTTAACATTTGCGAAGTGAGTGGAAAAATAAATATTTCAACAGCCTGTTTACCGTGCCAAGCTCTCGGCGCTGACTTGCGGAGCATAGGTGGCCCTGCAGGGACTCGTGTAGTGCTGCCTTCAGAAAAAGGTGACTGCAGGGACAGCGGCAACAGCCCGTGGGTGGGTGGAGGGGGAATTCCTTTCGGCTGTGTCGAGCCACGGACGGTTTTGAGGCTGTACTTCTGTCTGAAAAAATATTAATGCTCCTGTTGGAGTTTCTTCTCCCTTTCCAGGGAGCTACAGGCGGAGATAAATGCTATTTAGATGAAGGATAGCACAGACCATGGTAAAAGTAGCCACAGAGAGAAGGAATGTTCTCTTTGACTCATGAAAAATGGGGACATCTAGAAAATCCCCCCACAGCTGCCAGCTTTTCAGTGCATTTTTCCCCAGCCTGCAGCATTGTCCTGTCTCTGTGTAAAAGCCTATAAACGGGAGGCGGCTGTCGGAATTGAAAGGATGCTGGTTTTACGCTGGCGCTTTTGATTGTTTAGAAATCTCTTTTGCTTTTGTTCCAGCGGTTGCATTGAGGCTCGGTGGAAACTTTCACAATGGAAAATCCCAAGGCTCGGCAGGAGCAGAAGGTGCAGGTTTGGGAGGCTGGTTTGTTGCCGGGTTCACTTCTTAAATTTTTCGAATCAGACCCAGGACAGGTTTTGCCAGCTCCCAGGTTAAGTCACGGAATCATGAAGGTTGGAAAAGACCTTTAAGATCATCAAGTCCAACCATCAGTATGTACCGTATGTACCAAACAAAACCCTCAGTGACTTCAGAGGGTTTGTTGGAAAACAAATGTTTTCCCGTATGGCCGAAACGTGTGGTTTTGCTTTGAATACAGATCCTGCGCAGGCGGAGCTCGGCCGCGTGTCTTTGCACGCGCTTAAGCCAGCGCGGTTCCTCCGTGCTGGTGTTTGTGACCAGGACAACCGACAGGTGCAGACGCTCGGTGTTGGAATGGTGGCCAAATGGCGTTGCTGTACGGAGCTTGCTTTTTTTTTTTTCTTTTTGAGCCTTGTCCTTTCTGTCTTCAGCCAGCCCTGGTCCAGGTGTGAAGAGGGTGGGAGGTGACACCAAAGCCAATTAAAAATACCGATCCTTATTGCGACTGGAGGTCGCTTTCTGTGCAACCGAGACACCCTCTGAAAAAAAAATAAGCGCTAGAGTAAAGCACGGAGTGACTCCTGAAACCGAGCTCCTGGTCGGGGAGCTCTCAGAGGCGGTGGTGGTGTGACAGATCGCGTTGGTAACAGTAAATGTGGCACCGGGGCAGTTTGAACCTCATTGCTTTTCCTCTCTGCTCACAACCTGAAACTGCCCTTCGTGTTGCCCAAATCTGCCTCCCTTGGCTGTATCGTCCGCCCTGACCCCTCCGGTAACGCCGCACCCTCGGCACCTTCTCCGCAAGGCAGCTGAAAACTGCGGGATAGTTTGCTCTGAGCTTTGCTTTTGGATGCTGGGCTGGTTTTAGGTCAAGCTTTTCCAACCTGGCAAGGTGACTTCTTACCACGTGCTGCTGTTC